GCATGCATGCATGCTTGATTTATCCATCCATCCATTGAAAACTAAGTGATTATGGTGATGATAAGGCTTTAACTACTCACTATCGTTTGATAGCTTTTCGTTTGATAGACATTGAATAAAATAAATTTTTTAGTAATTATTACACAGGTAAGCAGCAATAGCAGTAGCCACAACGAATTAATTAATTAATTAAATGAACTGTCAGGTGAAGTTTTAGCGATTAATTAGTAGTTATTTTTAGTGAATTGCTGAGAAATGTAAGTGAATTGCGTACGGGAGAACGATGAATGAAAGATTTGATGGTTGATTTTTTGAATGATAGTGATTGATTGATTGATTTTTGAAGTTTGAAAAGTTATATGTTTTATTGATTGATCACAAATGGATGATTGATCTGCTGCTGTTCAATCCATCCATCCATCCACACCAACAATGTTTATCACTCATCTCGGCCACTCAGCTGATACTGCCACCATTAGCACCACCACCACCACCACCACCTTCTAGCTAGCAGCAGCAGCAGCAGCAGCAGCTCTAATGATAGTCGTCTTCTCATATGATCACTTTATATCTGATCTCATCTTAATCCGTTCAACGTATTTTCATTGTCGTATAAAGCATTGTCCTAAATTGTTATTTAAAGTGTACTGCTAATGTATTTAAATATTGGCGTATAGATAAATTCAAATCAATGAACATTACTAATTGTTTTAGGTGATAATTCAATGTGACTGTTGTGCTAGTCGCGTTCTCGACCAAAAGCATTAGCAGCACAGTAGCATTAGCGTTAACAGTCAGCAGCTGAACGATCAGAATCAGAACGTCGAATCGATCGATCGATCAATCAATCAATCAATCAATCGATCAATCGCACGAACAAGGATCAATCAGGAACAAGCCAAAACAAATCATCACGCACGAAAAAGACTAGCGAAAGACTGCCATCGATCTGCTGCCATTTGTCATGTTTAGCCCATTCAGAGAGCGTTTCTCGCTGTCATGTTCGTCGCCTTCGTCATCGCCCTCATCACCATCTTCAAAGCACAAACGCAATTCCATTCCGAGCGGTGTTCTTGCAACGCCATCATCTAAAGGTATTTGTTAATGTTGTTATTATTACTGTCAATTTGTTACTTTGAAATTAGATTCCTCATTAATTAGATTATTATTTGCCCGTAAACTATAGCTACTGAACAATCTAATCTGCTATAACCAGCCGTGTAGAATTTTTAGGAATAATTACACTCTCTACTTGCCGCAGTTGCTCTAATTATGACGACGACGATTTTTGTCTCAAGCCATTTTGACCATTTTGACCACAAAACAATTATGACCACGAGCACATTTGTCTTGTCTTGACCATTTTACTGATCATCCGATAGATCATCCGATATCAGCCAGTGTTGATCATATTATTTGATGATAAGTAACAAGTAGTAATAGTAGCAGTAGCAGTAGGTCTTGGCACAATACGAGACGATGTAAGCATTCTAAACGACGCAAATATGGCTGTTGGTGGTGGTGCTGTGGGCAATACGACGACGAGTGCGGCTGCTGGCCATGGCAATACTAGTAATATGACGACTAGTGGTGCTAATGTGATGCTGATGAAAACACTGAAACGATTACCGATAATTAATGAGCGACAACGTTGGCGACGTAGTAATTCACAGCCAAGNTTCATGCCGCCGCCACGACCACAGCAACGACGGCAAATCATGCGGCAGCGGCGGCGGCGGCAGCCGATTTGCGGCTGCTACTGCAACTTCGATGTGGCACGCAAATTGCTGCTGGTGGTGGTGGTGCGGCAGCAGCAGCAGCAGCACCACCACTTGGTATTCATAATCCGTGAGTAGTTTTATGATTAATTTTTAATTTAATTTAAATTTATATTAATGATATCATTTCTTAATGATATAATATAATTTATATTATATAATGATAATTTATATGAATAATTTAATTAATTTAATTTCCTCTTGTTTGTTGTCTTGTTGATTTTTCGTCGTTTCATTGATTACATACGCCTTAAAAAACACAATTCGGAAACAGCCGATAGCAGCTAGGTGCCTGTCGTTTGTTTTATTGTGTTAGAAAACAATACAATGAAATATAATTTTGCACCAGCATTTTTTTGTGTCGTGGTTCTTTATATTAGTCAAAACATTATATTAGTCATCTGATATTTTTTAAATTTCATTTCCAAATAGCTAATTGATTGATTGATTGATTGATTGATTGATCGATGGACTGATTGATCTGTTCGTTTCATTTCGTTGATTTTGCTATCACTGCCGCCACCTTATTCTTACTACTTGCCTCCTTATCAACTTGTTTCAACAATGAAAAAATTAAAAAATGCAACTGTCATCACTGGATATGATGCTGCTATATGTAGCAGCAGCAGCTGCTGCTGCTGCTGCAGCTCTATATGTGTATATGATGTGGCTGGCATGTTACTTGTTTCTGTTTGATTCCAAGTGAAGAGTATGAAAAGTATTTTAAGAGGAAACGAAAAACGAGTGAACTAGTGAAAGAGAACAAAATGAATTAAGGTGTGCTTTTTTTCAAGGGCTTTCTGAGACTGACTGGACTAGTGATGACAAGAAAGCAGCTAGCTTCGAGTGCAAAAACAATAGCAACGCACGCCGACATAACAATACAATTATTAACAAATATTAACAGTTAACTGAGTCGGCTGAATTACTACTCATTAAGACGACGACGGCACTAGCAGTAGCAGTAGCAGTAGCAGTAGCAACGGCACGGCACAATTCATATGATTTCAAGTCAATCAAGTCATTTGTCTTTGAAGGTAGTAGTTGCCTGCCTCTTCAATGTGCGCATTCGTTCTCAAGTATGCATAGCTAGTCGAAATTACTTATCGCATTATTATTATTATTATTATTATTATTAGTATTATTATTATTATTACTGCTGCTTTTTTTGTGACAACGTTTGCCAATTGTTCTTTCGGTTTAATTCACTTTCTTATTTCTAATTAGACTTGATCACTTGATTCTAAACATCTAAAGTCTAGATAGTATCTTTGTTGTGTTCTAGATACACTGCAGTCGGGATAGATTTACTTTCATTTAGCAGGATATACTCTCTTGTATGTAACTTATTGGTTTATAAGATATCATTGGCTTATAAGATGTAACATAAGATATCAATTATAAGATATCATATATTGGCTTATAAGTGGGTTGATTTTTGTGGCTGAAGTTGATGTTTTTGGTTTTGGAGCGCTTTTATCATTGACACTTGATAGTTGAGAGTGAGTAGGTCAGTTACTAGCCAATTATAATAATGCATAATAGCAGCAGTTCAAGCAATTGTCTATTAAAAGAATTTGAAGAAGTATCATGCATCAAGCATTGAATCATGCATCAAGCATTGATTCATGCATCAAGCATTCAATCATGCAATGCAAACTATTTTAGTGTTGTTGTAAAGTAATGAAACAAAACATTCATGATATGCAGCTGCAGCAGGCAGGCAGCCATCTATCTAGCCGATCGTGTAATGAAAGATTAATTATTGTTTGGTGTGAGAAGAAAATTTATTTGTTGGTGGTAAAATTTATTTGTAAAATATAACTACTGAACAACTGCTGCCTTTATGCATTTTTGTGGGTTTGTGTGTGTGTGATCTGGAATTGCGTGTTTGTTTTTCGTCGTTTCCATTGTTCTAGTAGCTTAGGGCTGGATCAGTTGATCAGTTGATCGATTATTGATCATTGTTATTGTTGCCAAATGATTGTTTGTGGTTCGTCGTTCAAACAATGTCAACCAACATTCAGTTGAACTTGATCAACCGCAAAAATTAAGCTGAACTTGAGCTTGAACTTAAGCCTGCTGCTACTGCTGTAATTTAAGCTTGTTTGACGTAAACTTGAGTCTTAGAGCTTGATGGCTTGATCACTTAATCACTTGATCAGTTGTTCGTGATCAGCTAAAAAACCGATCAAACATACCGATTGAACAACTGCCCGATTGATCATTCAGTTGTTGCAGCTTTTGAATGTTGCTTGAGTAGTAATGAGTTGTTCGTTCACACTCTTCACTCTTTTCACTTATAGTAGTGAGAATTATGCGAGTGACATCAATTTTAAGCTATCATTTATTTATTTAATATTATTTATTATTATTAATATTATTATGGTCATCAATTATGCCATAATAATTATCATAAGTATTGTGATTGATTCCAATTCTGTTTCTGAAGGCCTTCATGCAGCAGCAGTCAGCCATTCTCGATTTGGTCATTTTTCGATGCTCGTCAATCATCATTTACTCGTCGTCTGTTTTTCAAATTTCTCTGTTCTGTTCTGCTGGTCGTCTTCAGTTGATCATCTATTTCACTGATCACAATACTGATCAATGCAAATGAAATGCGATCGATCAAATAGGCGCCAAAAAGTGCGCGAAAAACATTGTGTTCGATTTGATCGATCATTCGATTGAATTGATAACGTGCACAGTGCGCCGATGTGGTGGTGGTGATTTAATGTGAGCGCATTTCATTTTACTCTCATTTAGTTGTGGTGAGTGGTTTTGGTGTGGTGGTGTGGTGGCACTGGGGTGGTGCTGCGGTCTAGTAGAGTTACTTGTTACTTGTTTTTATTTGTTATGGTGTTAATCGTCTACTGATATGATGAGGATATATGAGGATATAATAAGGCTGGCCACTTGTTACATTCGCTGAACCCAAACCCATACCTGTACCTGTACCTGCTGGACTTCAATATTGTGGCTGTTAACTTAACAGAGTTTACCTGTAATTGATTTATTACTTAATTAATTGTTAGGCTAATTCATTAGAACAGTACTGCTTATGTACTGTGTTTTGGCCTCCTCATGTCTTCTCATGGGTTAATTAATTATTGTTGTTGCTGTGTATGGCTTGATATTAATGAGATATTAATGAGATAATGAGATGTTAGATATTGATATTAATTGCTCATTAATCCTAATCTGTACGTATAATGAGTAGTCGTGTTCCTGATCACTCCAATAGAACAGTGCTCCAATTAGTTACTGAAAGAGAATCTAAAAGTATAGTAAGAGTAAGAGTAATTCAAAATGGCAACAAATAATTAGTTAATAGATACATCCGTCCAAGTCACTGGCTTATAGCGTTGAAGGCTCAAATTAAAAGACTGAACTGATTATAGCGGTCAGTTACTGCAAAAAATCATGTGAGCAATAGAACACAACAACGAGAGCATTCATCATTATCAACCACAACAACAGCAGCACTAAAAAAAAGCCTAAGCCACTTCTAACTGCTATTGTTTTGCAGCAGCAAAATTATGTTATTGCTTGCTTTCATGCTAGTAGCAGCAGCAGTAGCAGTAGCAGTAATAATCATAGTAATAAAAATAAGTAATAGTAATAAGCTAAGTAATAATAACAATAATAATAGTAATAAGTAATAATAAAAATAATAATAGTAATAAGTAATGATAAAAATAATAATAGTAATAAGTAATAATAAAAAAATAATTATTCAAAATGCACATACACACACACGCCAACTAAAATAGATAAGATAATAGATGGATGGATAGATGACTAAATGACGAGAATTTCTATTTATATGTCTATTTAACGAGAACGTTGTCTATTTATGCAGCTGTTTAATATTCTCATATTGCATTATAATTTTATGATTTTCTTGAGAATCTATATTATTAGCATGCAAGCAGCATCTATTCGTTGGTTATTCGATTTGTATGTTTGAAAGAGAAGAATCTATTAATCGTAAGTATTTTTTGTGTTGGCTGCTTGGTGCTGGTGCGGGATCAATCAATCAATCAGCGGTTGTTGATTTTTTGATTTTTGGCTCGTTTAATTTGCTCATCGCATTATTCAGTTACTCTAGTGATTGTCATTCACCTCACACATACATAGTTGTGGTCGCATACGAATTACATTCGAAATTCATTCATGCATCCATCCATCCATCCATTAATCTCAATTGAAAACGATAACATGAAAGCAATTATATACGTTTCTTTGATGTGATCTGATCTGATCTGATTTGATTTGATCTAATTTGATTTGATTTGATCTGATCTGATTCAACTTTAGATTATAGATACATGCATGTCTAAGTCATATCTACAACTAAATTTATACATATAGTAAAACAGCCACCGCCGCCGCTATTCTGCGCTAAACCCGTCTGAGAGCTTAGGCTTATAGTAGCACTTGGGTGTAGCTACCTGCTCAGGTGGGGACACATTAAACTGTTGAAGCTTACAGTTATCAGTCAGTATCAAGTCAAAGGGTGACTGCTTGCTTGGGTGATGAAGTATACATGCCGAATAGCTAGCTAGCTAGCTGGCTCTTGAACGAACGTCTGTGACGGCGGTCAGCCTCTCAGGAACACTCGATCTCGATTAAATTAATGCATGCGCGTGTTTATTATGCTATTATGTATAAGATGTTATTCGAATGGTGTGTCTTTTTTTTTCAATTGCTACACATAATAAATAGTAGAAGAACGTGAATGAGCTGCTGCTGCTGCTGCTTCTTCTCATCTCAGCAGTTTATCTTCCCAAAAATATCTTTCATCTAAAATCCAGAGGATGTGGTCTAATGGTGATCGTCGTGCTCGTTTTGAGTGTTGATCCTGCCTGCCTGCTGCTGCTGATGTAAGACTAGCTAGTTAGCGTCTAGCTTGAAGTGGCTAGCTGTAGCTGCTGTGGCCAGTTTACTGATCTGTTAGATTGCTGTTGTTGCTACTGCTGCTGATTGAAATATTGATCACACATTGATCCATGTGATCACATAAATGGCGATCGCATACAGAATATGGATGTGGTCAGAATTGTGTGTGTAT